AGAGGCGCTGGTTCGATGGAAAGACCCTAAAAACGGCTATATTTCCCCCAATATATTCATTGGCATAGCCGAAGAAACCGGACTTATCAGGCCTTTGGGTCAGCAGATACTCGAAATGTCTATTCGTCAGACCAAGCAGTGGCTAGATATGGGGATATTACCCGGCGAGATAGCGGTTAATCTATCCGCCCATCAGTTTCGGCAGGAGGATTTGCTCGAAAGCATCGACAAGCTATTGACCGAAACCGGTCTACCACCCGATTATATCGAGCTCGAAATTACCGAAGGCGCGGTGATGCAAAATGTCGAGAGGGTCATAGAGGTCATGCACGACTTCAAAAACTATGGGTTGCACCTGGCAATAGATGATTTTGGCACTGGCTATTCATCGCTGAACTACCTCAAGCGTTTCCCAGTCGATACATTAAAGATCGATATCAGCTTTATCCAGGACATGACCTATAGTAAACGAGACCACAGCATGGTCGCTTCGATCATTAACCTGGCGCAGAATTTCGATTTGCGGGTAGTGAGTAGTGGCCGAAGGAGCGTGGAAACTTTCGTAGCAAGTGGAGGCTCTCAAGCGCCTGGATGTGCGATAATGAATAGGCAGGCGCTATTTGTTTCAGTAAACCCGTTTGCAGTAGGAAAGAATGTTGAAAAATTAATCCCAGAAAGACTGGAACTTGTATGATTTGAAAAGGGAGATGGTTGAATCTTGAAGTTGATTTTTTCAGCCATTTGGTAACCTCGAAAGATAAGATTTTAGCTGAAAATAATCTCTGCTCTAAGATGTTCTGGGGCACGTTACTTAATTCATCCGGGCTTTAGTAAGGCCTAGCGTGGCATTCGTAACCGTCATTCAAACACACGTTGACAATCTATGGCCATTTATCTAAAAAGGTACGAATATTTTTCAGTCAAATTCCAGGGGGGAAATTGATGCCAGATTGCCTCCGCATTTATAATGTCGCGCAAAGTTTAGGGTGTAAGCTCTGGCTGCCAGGTGGAGATAACGCTCGGGCGCCCTCAACAGTTTTTTCGTTCGGCAACGTGTTTGGGCCGCTGCCCGGCCTCTATGGGGGAACATGATAAACGCATCAGCTCACCGGATCGCACCTCCACGCGGCTGATCGCGGCTTGCGCAGCATAGCCATCGCACAGTTAGCAATCCGCTGCTCCTCATCCTGTCTTCAAGGCCGAAGGCAGTTATCCGCCATATAAACCGCGCGTAATGGTTTTCAAAAGGCCCGCTTCACATCTGCCTATTAATCTTCCGGTCGCCACCCTCACTCTCATCGTCATAGTGGACTCAACCTGATGTTCGATATCAGTTAGAAGTTACTATGTAAGGACGATTTGGATTTGAAGCTGCAAAAGTATTAGAAGTGATACAAACCTGAATCCGTAGTTTAAAAAACAGGACGTTTGTGGCTTTTACTGCGACGCCCCAAAAGACCAAACTTCGCCCCCCCCCCCCGCCCCCACCCCATTCCAACCATACTAACCACGCGTATACGGAGGCGCGAAACATAAAAACTGCGCTTCCTTCTAATCGTTTAAAGCTTCTTTTTCTAATCTGTTGTTTTAGTAAATCGGATTGTTTCCTTTAATACCTAAAAAAGAACAATAACAGGCCAATTAATTCCGTAGAATTAATCATCCGTATCGCGTCTCTGAGTGTTTGTCGGGAAGGTTCTGTTTCGGAAATAAGCCTCTAATTATCACTAGAGCGTTCTCCTTTCAATCAATCAGAGGAAATAAAATATGACCATAAAAACAGGCAAGTAGGAGCTGCTTTTGGTTTTTCTAATATTTTTACTCGATAGTGAGCGCATGTGAGGCGTGAAAAATTCGTGGGGTATCCGGGATTTTGGCGGGGATCAAAGTAAATGAAGAGGTTTATTGGACGGTAAATTATAGACACACAGCTATGTAATTGGCTACTTATATAAAACTTTTAATAGCACATTCATAATAAAACCATTATTAATATACGATATATCACTATAAATATACAAAACATAAAATACCCTTACTATACTTCCGGTTTTGACTATGGAGGGAAATGGTAATGATGTAAATAAATACTAAAGGCCTGTCTCTTTGTATCGAGGCAAAGTAAATCATATTCTGCACTCATCCCCTCAAAAAAAAAACCCCCAAGCGTATTGGTGGCAGTGTGATGGGTGATAAAAATAAAAAAACACCGAAACAGGAAAAAAAAAAAACAAAAAAGAAAACAGCTGCGCCTTGCCTCAAAGTTTGAGCTAAATATTCCCCCCCCCAAGATAATCTATATATGAGAAATATGAGGTAAATAGTAATTGAAGGCATTTCAATATTTCAAAGGAAAGCCTTTTCAGTTGTATTGAGGTACGTGGCCGCCTCCTCCCCTCAGTTTATATTATGGTAAGTTTAGATATTGACTAGAATTCTTATTGTCGAGCGTAAGTGGTAAGTTATGGAGAGTTAAGTAAATATAGCCCAGAAACTCTCCTTTCCTTCCTACGGGCAGGAAAAAAAGAAATGGCCGAAGACGAATATCAAGTCGCCACATATAAATAAATGGATATTGTCAATGGCACGAAATGTATAATTATCGGCCCACTGAAACAATCAAAAAATCAATATATTAATACTAGGGGAGGAGTACACCCCCCCCCGCAATCGCCCAAAGGCTGGGCACAAAGAAAGCTTACAAAAACTAAGAGAATATGCGAAAGACAAAAAAAAAACACCGAGAGATTTTAAAGGACGAATTTCACCGTGGCCATAACACCTACCCCGCCCAAAACGCTTCTCAGTCCATTTCTGCAATTATTCTGCTACCGAACACTCTTATATGATCGACAATTGGAGTCCTGGTTAATCTAGGATCCCGTCGAATTACACTGCAGAGCTTCTAGGTATTAAGCTAACGATTTATACAGCCAAGGGGTATCTGAACCTAGGGCGCCAAATAAAACAACTTCGTGATTTTGGGCCTGATTACGATGGCGTGCTCTTAAGTGCAGTCGATAGCTATGAAATGGACGAAGTCATAAAAGAAGTCAGTGCAAAAGTACCCCTAGTGGCTTACATAAACGATGTGAGTTCCGACGGGGTTCATGCCAAGGCAATGGTTTATTA